GGTGTATAAACTGAACTCTTATTTTTTTGGGTGAGGAGGAGGGGTTGTAACAGCTGCCCAGTAGATATTAATTGTATCTTCACATGATGAACAGAATTTCAGAAAATTATATATCTGAAATTGGCAGCATTTAAGAATAATTATTCCACACTTGGTTCATTCCACATATTCCATCAGCCACTTCTGATATTACAGTAAGTATAGAGACAATTTTTTTGGCCTAACTTGCTACATGACAAGTTTCACTGGGAATCTATCTTAACAGCTGCTTATCAGTACTGATAATGGCCTCTATATTTTGATCCCTTCTAAATTGGTAAAATTTAAACTGTATTTGTCTCTGCTCTCTTCATAATTCTGTGTGATCCTGAATTCTTTCCAGGATTTTGCTCTCTTGAATCTTTGATTCTTCTTTATTGTAAATAAAATAATTTATTATATTTAAATACAAGTGTTCAGTGTTCAACCATTAGTTGTCTTTCTTGCATTTTCTCTTTCCTTTTCTACTTTTGTCATCCTCTAAAATATGTCTCAGTCCAGCAGAGTAATTTAGAACACTCATTTTCTCATTTTCATTCCCTTGAATGTTTGTGGAAATTTTGAGTGCTTAGTATTGTGCAATTTTAAAACTTTAGGCTCTTCAATGTAATCACTTTTTCTAGGGAATAAATGTGATTCATTAATTGGATACTGAAACAATAGAACTTTGTATTATATGCCCTATTTATTATGTTAGCTTTTAATCAGAATTTGACTCTACTCATGTAAAGAAGAGGGAAACTTAGTCAAGCTAAAATCTGACACTGAAGCAAATACTAAAGGGAAAAGTAGTTATTTGTTCATTTTTTTGAACTTACTATATGCATTCAGTTAACTTATAACTTCTAATAAGTTAAATAGATTCCATATCCTTGAATGAAAATTAGTTTTTATGACGTCTTTGCAGCTGTTTTTGTTTAGTTTGGATTCATAAATCGTGATGCAGAAAATAGTGCACAAATTGTGTTACTCTGCAAGTTAAAAAAAAGGGGGTTATAGAGTACTATTTTACTTCTCCATCCCAACTTGAACATAGTTTAGTTTCTGCTCTTACCATATTGCCCAGTTTTACTGCTAAATTAGTTGGGATTTTTCCCCACTGAAAGGAAATTTAGCTGTTTTTAAAAGGGGTCTTCCTCCTCTTTGAAATGTCACTTAAGCTCTTCATACCACTAAAAAAGTGAGGGTTGAAGTCTGCCTCAGCTGATTTTGCAGGTGAAATAGATACTTCTCTTTATTCTACTACTATTCTATTTATTCTAATAGTTTTATGTTCAGTCTTACTGAATTGCTTAAAATGTTAGTGGGAAATGTTAAAGAAAAACAGTGTTGCAGAACTGTGAACAAATCAGTTATGCAGGAAAAATTTAAATGTTCATGAGGAACTAACTGAACAGGTGCCCCTGTTTTCTTGGTATCAGACTCCAGTTTGCTCTCCAAAGCCCCATTAAGAATTTATTATTTAGAATATTTATCCCTTAGGGTAGAATTCTTTCCAGCACAATATTCTGGGATGACTATAGATGTAGCAATGTTGCTACTGACACTTGCTTACATAGTAGTTAAAAATTCAGGGTTTTGAAATGTCTTTTGGATGGCTGTTGGATGAAAGAATTGACCCTTGTACATTTGTGATCAAGTGTGTCTATTTGGTAAAATGTCTGTGAGACCTGAAGGGGTGCCCTGCAGCCTCCCACTGTCCATCCATCCCAGTGTTCAGGCTCTAGCAATGGTGATGGAGAGGTAAATTAGGGAGACCACATCATTTACAGTCCCAGCTGCTTCTTGCAGTCTCTTCACCTCAAATTCCCCTGGAACTAAGAGTTGCTGGATTAGAGGTGTTAGAGGGTACATCTGTGCTAGGTCTGTGTAAAACTTTAGCATTCTGTTCTGATCAGAAGGAGTGATGATTTTCTTCAACTATCAATGCAGATCTAGGCAACCTAGATCATCTTAGGCATGTCTTTTAAATCACTGGAGAAATATACTCAGAGGAATATCCTGCTTTGTTGGATATTATTCCCCTGGCCAACCATGCAGTTTGTTACAAACAGTATAAATTAGTAAGGATGTGCTGTATCCATATTTCCATCTTTGAAAAATCCCTTATGAAAACACTCAAATTATCCCTCTCAAAAGTAAATATGTTTTTTCTTTAAGGTAAGTCTGCATAGATTGTTTTTGCAAATAAGTTTGTTTCAGCCCTTAATTTTTGCCTTAGTATGTGGAAAAAAATATAGTCATCCTGAGGCCTCCAGAAGGCTGGGCAAGAGTTTTACCTGTGTGTTTTCCTGACAGACGCTGATACTACAAAAATGTTTTTCCTAGGCTGACCACCTTACTTGATCTACAGACAAGCCAGTTATATGTTTCTTTCCTGAGTGTCAAACATCCATAATATTCACTTTGCAAGTTTTTTAAGCCCTGTTCAAGCAACAGAATAGAAATGGTGTCTATGGCAGCAGCTGCTCTATGGATAGTGTGTCATATATATGATAATTTAATGAAAAAAAATTTTAGAAATAAGTGATTTTTCTGTGGCACCTCCTTGTTGGGATGCTTTTTTATTTGTAAAGCAGTTTATTTTTTCTAAATATAATAATAATGCAAGAGTCAAAATAAAGCCTAGCTGTCTTTGGGGTTCTTTTCCAAAATAACCCTTCATTTCTTAATTCTCACTGATCAGCAGCTTTTTAGCTAAAATGTTCACCTTACCTTCTAGGTTTTTTTAGGAAGCTGTGGTTCTCGTTTCATCACATCTTCAGTTGGACTCTGAATTAGATCTCAATGTTTGAGAATTTTGAGATGAAGTGTAACTTGTGTTCCCTGCAGCAGACTTCAATGCACTATAAAATAGCCAGAACTGATTTCATTCAGAAATGTGGCTGTTTTGTAGAGCCACTTGGGCAGGGAACGAGATCGTGGGTTCCAGGTTGTATTTGGTCTGATCTCCTGTCTCCTAGAATTAATGTCCTGATTATCTGATAAGCAAGAGCAATCTTTAAATTGGAATCATTGTAATGCAAAGCAGGCACAATATTTGAGTTCTTAATATGTGAATTTTTCTGGTGGGCTGCATGGAAGCTGCAGGATGGTCTGCTGAGTTACCAAATGCAAGGGTATATTTTCCATTTTTCAGTGCATGAGAGTTTTCAGTCCAGAAAAATTTTTCTATTTATGGAAATAAGTGGTTGTCACTTCTGTAATTGTAGTTAAGCAGTAGTTAATGCTTGCTTTGTCCAACATTGTGGCATAACTGCAGTTCATGTCAATGGTAGTGTTTGCATGTTGCTTTTTTTCTTCCTTGGTCTATAATGGAGGACTTTGAATTGTTCATTTGTAAAAGTTCAGTATGTTTATTGATAAAAGTGTTAACTATCTTTGCAGCATGGGAGAAGATAGTGGGTTCCTTTCATGTGTGCATTTGAGTGAATATTTTAAATACTCTTATTTTTTGCTAAGGTAATGTTCTCTTTAGGATTTAATTTTATTTTTTTATACTAAAAACTACTAGCTGTAAGCTTTATTGAAGCATCCTGAGTTAGATGATAACAAAACAGGGTAAAATACAACATATATAATTGCTTGTCTTCTGTTTATAGATTATTTAAAGAGCAACTGTGAAGTTGCCACTCAGTTTCTGCTCTAGTGCAGTGTTTGGGAGGGTTTTGGGGGACCATGAGACCCCCATCACCTTTCCTGGGGGGAAGGGGCCCTACAGCTGAGCTCTGCACAGCAGAGGATGGGCAGTCACTGCCTCTCACCAGAGGTTTCTTCAGCACACACCCAAAGGCTCTCTCCCCCCACCCTTTGGTGTGAGGGTCTGTGCAAGCCTGGCAGCTGACAGCCCTGGGCTGTGGTCTCCAGCTTGATCCCTCTGGGAATGTGTTCTTCTTCCCCAGCCCAGGCCTGAGTCACTTTATCTCCATCAACATGCAGCCCAAGGCTCCATTCAGGGTTTGGGTGGTTTTCTCTGCAGCTTTTATACAGTTTTGCTGTAATAGGCAAAAGTCTTTCATGAAGATGTTTAAGCCATAAATTATAACATTTCAGTCTCCAACCATCCAGTTACTGAATTGATTCACGCAAAAAGCAAAACAAACTAAAAAACTTGGGTCTAGTCATGGACTTCTGAGAAACTTCAAGCAGTCAGACTTCAACTAGGCTCAAAAGATGAAAACAGCATATCAAATGCTTTTAGATAGCTGAGGGTTCAGTCTTAAAATGGAAAGAAGTTTCTCCGTTAACCTGTTGATACTAAAGTTATGATCCCTACCCTCAGGTATATTGTTGGTCTAAAATTATTAGGAGGCTGCAAAGCTTTTAAATTATTAGGAGGTTGCAAAAGTGTTAGAAAATTACAAAAATAGAAGCCTATTCTCATAAAATGACAAGTATTCTTTCAATCCTACTGTTACCTCCAGCAAATTTATTAGGGTTAGAGTGCCTAGTTAGTTAGTGGAGCTGCCCATCCTGACTGGCTTAAATATGCTGCTTTTCATAGACAGAATAAGAGAGGAGGACTGATTTCTTGCATTCCTTCCTGTATAGCATAAGTAAATCACAGGTTAAAAGTATATGCTGATTAAGTCATGATGACAACTGAAGAGTTGGAAGAAGTTTGCATCAGAACTAAAGCTTATGATTTTTGGTGCACCTTCAAAAAGGATGCATAACAATCCATATGAACAACTCTGAGGTTTCAAACTAAAGCCTTCTAAAATTAGTGTACATCAAGGTCTCTGGTTGTATTTCTGTGTATGCAGAATGACTGCTACAAGTTGCTAGTTAATGGCAGATTTTGGACTTAAAATATATGATGGATTTCATCTAAAGGAAACCAGAAGGAATATGGTTTAACATATTTTGGTATAAATTAGATCCACAGAATTAAAATGGCCTTCTAGTTCAAATTCGGATGGATTTTAACTTTGAGTTGTTTTTCTGTTTCTGTTTTGCAGTGTTATGTGGGAGCCAATGGGAGATGGTAAAAAGATTATTTCACTGGCTGATAACAACATATTATTGTGGGATTTGCAGGAAAGTTCAGCCAAAGCTGTGGTAAGAATTTTTTTTTTTAACAAAACATGCTATAATGCTAACTTTAATATAGTCCAAACAACAGCATTCCTTAGCCTAGAATTTGCTAATCTTTTAACTATTCGTTCAGAAGTATCTCATTGCCTATAAGGTAGGTGGGGGAAATGAATATTGTACCATTGTTATATTCAAGAGTGTTTAAGAGTAGTATTTTAGTACCTGTCGGTAGTGGGTAAATGTTTTCTTTGTTCTAGAGTTCCCCTTACTGCTTTTATAGTGAGAAATCTAGAATAAAGCAGTGCTGATTTGGTGAATGTCTACAAGTGGAAAAATTAATGATCAGTCAAGCCAAAGGTTGCTGAATTCAGATAATGGTGTAGTAACTCACATTGGTTAATACCATGCAGCCCTTTATTTAATTTAGAACTCTTGATGGTATAAGCATAAGTTTCTTTATTTGCTATGTACTGCTTTGAATTTTCAATGTTAGTTTAATTTAGTAATATACAGTTTATTCATATTATTTCACTTATTGTTAAAAATGTCTTATTCAGGAACATATATAATAAGTGTCATTGGCATAGATTTTTGTCTGATTATGCCATATGATAGAATGTATATAGAAAACTTCAAATGATTCCATCTGTGCTTATAAATGGAAACTTGTTATGCCAAGGACATTGCTATTCAATTGATCTGTTGTCACCTTTAACTCCTTAGGTCAGGGTTAATTCTTTTCCTGGATGCTGCAGAATCAGTTTTTTCAACTTAGTCAATACACTGTGTCCATAAACTCTTCCCTGTTTATATGACCTGACTGCATGCAAATAGATGACAACGTAATATAATATAGTTTAATACTTTGTGTTTATAATTAAGTCCTTTGGGTTCCTTCTCTAGATGAGAAACTTGAGGGGTTTTTCTCACCTGCAACTTCAATAGTTATGTTGCCTTCCAAGGCTTCAAATTAGTATTTGTTTTTATCAAATTGATGTTGAGAGTTTCTGACAGCTTACCTCCAGGAGCTTGTCTGTCAGGCAATGTATCCCCTGCATTACACCTGCATTAGTTAGTATTTCTTTCTTAATGTCTGCATAAGACACAAACCTTTCTGCAATACTGAAAGACTTTGGGGTTGGTACTGCTTCCATGCTGTGGGTCCTCATGTCTCCTTGAAGTACTGAGACTGCTAGGCAACTTAGCATTTTCCCTTTCTCCTGCTTTCACTCCTTGTGCAGTTCTGTCCTCACTTGCTGAAATCCTTTTGAATGTTACCACTTTCTCATAACTCTCTCAGATTTTTTCTTAATCCTAACCTCCCTCCCATGGCAGGGGAGTGGCATTAAATGATCTTTAAGGCCCCTTTAAACCCAAACCATTCTATGAGTCTATGATTTCCTCTAGGCTGCTCTCTGGTGTATCATCAGTTTCTCTGTGGAAATATTGTCACAAATGCCAAATTTTATGGGGTTTTTATTCCTCATTTTATATTGCTTGGGAATTATTTACTAGAATTTTGTATATTGTGTCTTCCTTATACTATTCTTTTATCAAAACTAAACCCCTACTCTATCACACAAATATTTGTGCAGATAACTATGATTTCCATTTTCTTTTCCTTCCATTGCTAGAATTATGATCTGTGTAATTTTGGAGAGGAATAGATGCTATCAAATTTTGTAATTTCAGCATGATTTGGGGAATCAGTATTTTTATCCTCAAAGCAGCAATCAGCTTACAGATCCTTTCAGTATTTCAAGTAGCATTACTTATTAGAGTATTTTTTAATTGTTACTTCTAAAATGTTCTTGTAGTACATCAAATGTTGATGGCACAAAAGACCTCTAGAAGGCAAAGTGATAAAGGAATTAAGGGGATTTAAGTTGTGACATTATATGTTTATATTTTTATGAAAGGAAACTAATACAAGCAAATGTGAAATTCTGTATCAAAGAAACCACTTCACCTAATAAAGTAGATGTATCAACCTTTGATTGACATCTTCAGATTAGAGGATTTAAAAATCTTCGTTAAAAACCTTTGTTTGCAGAAGTTAAGGATGTTGTTCAGATTTTACAGTCAGGCCCTCAGGAGGCTTGATATTGAATTTGACTGATCCTCTGTCTTTCCATCTAATCTAGTATCTCATGTGATTGCACTGTAAACAAGAATTATTTGTGATTAAAATTTTACCTGAGAATAACTGTCTAGCATAATCAGTCTTCTGCTCCAGCAGTTTTGAGTTGTTCTTAGATGATACTTACTTCAATACCAAGTCATACACTGATGTTAAAGTGAAGTCTGATAGAGAAATTTCACTGAAACTTGACTATCAGAAAACATATCTCCATGCATCAAAATCTTGAGCCCAGTGAGTCACTTCTGAGATGACTGGAATTCTTGCAATTTTTGAATGTTGAATTTTGGTCTGCAACAAATTTATCTTACACATATCTGTAGATTCCTGAGCTAGCTGGAGTCCAGCTGAACAAGACTGAGGAAAGCATAAGCATCTCTTTAAGAGGCTTGTGCTAGACTTTCTAGTAATGAAAATTAAGACAAGCTGAAGTCCAGTATCATAGGCTTTTTCAGGACTAGAAGTGACTGTGGTGCATTTCTCAAATATTCAAAGATTACCTCCTTACTAAGAAATCAACTCCCTGTGTACTTGTATATATGGCTGAAAAATAATAACTTTTATTTTGCAGCAATTTTATATTTGCAAAAAATATATAGGGCTGACAGTTACAAAGAGCAATAAAGAAAAACAAGCAATATTTTGTTACACAGTTGGCTTTCTCTTTAAAAAAAAAGAGTAAAACCCTCCTCCATAAATCAACACTCTACCCCAATTTTTGCTGCTGTAGTATTTAGAATGTGAGAGAAATCTGTGTGAACAGGTTGATTATAAAACAGATAGCATTAGTAGTGGTAAGTAGTAAATATATTTTCCATTTGATTTTCACCATGGACAAGGAGTGTTTGTAGGCTAATGAGCTGCTGGTGAAACAGGGATTTCTTTCTGTTATATCCTGTTATATCCTGTTTATAAGGGATTGTTGCATGCATAGTATATCGTAATTCTAAAAAGTACATGATTTGTATTTTAATTTTTTTTGATCAGAATGTAAAGTGAGACTTCATTGAGATAGTAATAATGAGAGCTTTTTTTTTTTTTTTTTGCCTGGAAAACAGATATAGAACAGCCTAAAGCAAAGAAATTGGGTCTTGCCATATTAAAAAAGAGGCATGTTAAGGCAAATTTTAAAAAAAAGGCAACAAAAAGCCAAAAAACCCACAACATTTCCTTTATATGCAGTTACACGGAGGTTATGTAAATTACAAGAAAAGTTGTCTTTACTGTTCATTAAGATGAAAGGTTGTCCATTTTTGGGATCTCTTAGCCACCTGCTGTCTTATCACCTAACATGCTTTGTTTCAAGCAGGCAGTGAGTAAGTGGGATGTAGCTGGTGTTGGGGAAATGTCCCTGTCTGACCATCCAGGAGTCACTCTGGCAGTCACACTCCCATGAGCAGAGACTTTGGGCACCTCCAGTGGGCTGACAGGGCCCTGCAGGACTCCCTGCATGCCCCACTCTCACACATCCCAGGTTTCCCATAGCAGTCTCTCAGTCCTCTCCATCCCTTAAGTCATTTAATCACAGTGCTACAGCAAAACAACAGTCTGGGCTGGTGCCTCTCATGAGGGACCCTGAATAAAGAAAATCCTGAGGTTTTATACCCTCCAGTTTATGCAGCAAAAGTCTGGGGTCTTTCTTCTCCATCCTCTGCTCCTGCTGTGTCTCTGAGTGTCCAGTCAACTGACTGGTGACACAGGTCCCTGTGCCTTTTGTTGTGCAAATGGTCAGTGCTTCTTCCCAGCCCCTTGCCTCGTTTCCCGCCACCATCCAGAGCTCAGTCTGCAGCTGGCACTGCAGCTGCACACCAAGCTACCTCTACTGAATGTTTTCCTCAACACTAGTCAACTTAAATATTCTGCAGGGATTGCTAAGGGGAGAACATCATTACAAAATATATATGTTGCTATAGACTTAGAACAGTGTACTTCTGTGTGTGTACATGTGTTGTTATAAGTAAAAAATGCTGTGACTAAAACTTAAATCAAGAGCCTAGGATTAAAATAATAGAAATGTCAGTGTTTTGGAATTGTTTTCTCTTTTTGTAAAAAACACATGATTGTGTTCAAGTTGAATAATAGCATCATTGTTAACTAAAAGTAAGATCAGTTCCACTCTATTTGTATCAGGCAATAGAGGTAAGGGGGTATTCATTACACTGGTGCATCACTGGTCTTCCTGTTTTTACAACACCTTTCAATTGCTTCCCTTTTTAGCATAAGTACATATTATAGGCCATTTTAAGGGCAAGAGGTAAACCAAATGCTACTCTTTATGGAACTTTCATGCTTATGAAAGCTTGTCTAAAATTCGGGTATAATATAAATGAAAACCTGAAAATATGTGTGTCTTTAAAATTTTGTATCGGCCAAAATTTCTGCTTCTTTACAGTGATCAAAACTTCAGAGTCTTATTTAGTTCCTTTTCTGTATCTGCCTGTGATTTACAAGTCACATTGTTTCATTAAAATTAGCCTGAAGAATTGTGCAGTTCCCAATAGATTCAGAGCTTCTTGGTAATAAAATTATTGGTGTGTTCATTCTCTGAATTATCTAGTCAGCTTGGGATAAGAAACATTTGCTAACTGTAATTTACTGTACAGTTCAGTGGGTTTGTTTGGGTTCGTTTTGGTTTGGGGTTTTGTTTTTTATTTTCTTTCAGTGTTTTTTTTTGCTAACGTGTTTCCACCTTACAGTGTTCAATTTGCCTGTATTTACATTAAGACAAGCTTCTCCAGTCCTTTTGATCACTCCCTTTATTATTGTTTTGAGGACATTACCTTCTGGGGTGAAACTAATCTTATGCTTACTGCATCATTACCTTTTGCAATTAAATTAGCTATTCTTTGCCATTTATAATCATTAGCTGGACCCAAGAGAAGCCCAGACAATGCACAAGGTGTGGATAGAATCTGCTGAGAAGAAGACAGTTAATATTTCTGTGTACAGATTTGAGGTCAGATGTCAACAAATTGCTAGAACTCTTCCTCAAGTAAATGCAGTATGTTTGGCATGGCAGATGAGTGCAACAGAATGAAATAGAGATATTAAAATCTAGATATTTTTCTGGTTTTCATATGTTTTCACAAAGGGGACAAATAGAGGTGTGGCTTTGATCATTCTAATCCAAACTATTATAATTATATTCCTTTTAGATTTCTTGTGGATTATTTAGCAGCATTCATATGGTCTTGGTTCAGAACAACAGATGATATCAAGCAGTGGCATTCCAGGCAAGGCAGAATATATTTTGGGGAAGATTTCACAGGTTATCTGGTTAAAAGCGATGTATCCAAATAGAGAGAACGTTAGGAATAAGCATGAGATGCTTTCTTGGCAAGATAGCTGCTATTTCTCAAGGCAGGAAATACCTTGTGGAATTCAGTGGAGAATTTTTTAGTATCCCATTATTACTGCAACTGAAATAAACATAGATTAACTATAGGAGGGCAGAAAACTGTCAGAAGAAAAATAAAAGGGAAATTACTGATCAAAATGAGAATAGGAACCAGCTCAGGGTTGGAATCAATTTTATTTAATGGTCACCTTAACGATAGAATAGAAGTAGGAGTGAAATAATGAAAATTATTGCTGGCAGAGCTTGGAATGCATCATCAGCATATAGGAATAACAATATAGTTCAGAGGATGAACTGGTTATTTAGTTTAATTTTTGTAGTATAAAGCAGAAAACTTATGTTTAAGGAATAAAAATATTTTCTTACTGTAATGCAAAAACTCAGCACTTAAAAATATGTGAATTCTGTTACTTAGCTATTCTGAGAATAGCTCTGAGCTGCCAATATGATGAGGCTATTTGAAAAGGTAAATAGTTTTAAGATGGTTCAGGAGTCAAAAACAGTTATGAAAGGACTCCATGGCATGGTTTCCTGCAGTTGGCGGAGTTGAACTCAATTTACCATCCTCATCAACTTTTCTGGTTCTGTCAATAACAAGTCAGAAAAACATTCATACCTTTTAATGTCAATCTCAAAATAGTCTGCTTGGGTTTGTCTACTTAGTGTAGCCCTGAATATATCTTTCTTCTAAGTACTTTCCTGTTCTGTTCTTGGTCACATAGCTCTTTTCTTGGAAGAGAGCATGAACAGTTGGTCTCCATGCTGCTTATGGTTTTCCTAGATAATTTGTGTACCCTTTAACACTTAATATATGTTGGGGTTTGGGTTTTTTTGAAGGATAGTGCCTGTCCTTTCCTCTTTTCAAGTCAGACCTTCTGTAATCAAATTTTGAAGCAGGAAAATCAATCTCAGTCCTTCATATTTTGACAAAAATAAGTTGGAGTCATTGATACTTTGATTTGAATGCACAGAAATCAGTCCATGATCTAGGATATCCTAGGAAAGATTTTTTTTTGTATTTTGGTACTTTGTTTTTGTAAAACCCTTTCCTTCACTGAGAATAACATAAACAGTTCTATTCTGATCATGTTACATTGTTTAATTTTTTAGAAGATTTTTTTCTTACCTCAAAGTGTTGCTGTCTTGCAAGTGCAGTATAATATCATGCTGCCCTTCTATTTTTCTTCTTGTGTCACCAGATTTAGGCATTGTTCCAGCTAAGCATTTAGAAATAATGTAAAATCCATCCATACTCCAGTAACCATTTTATGGTGTTCAAGATTTCATTTTCTCTAGATTTCTTTTCTGAAATCCTTGTGTGATCCTTGTGCATTGCAAGAGTAATTCATAATTTTGTTGTCTAAAAGTAGACATTGAGTTGTACTCTATTCCTTTCCTTTTTCCTTAATGTAACTCCCATTTTGTGTTTATAAAATAATACTATGAATTGTTTACCTAAAGTATCCTGTGAGGCCCTCACACCTGCATGTCTTTATCCCCTGGGCAGCACAGATCTTAACCTTCATGCAAGAATAATGTTTAAAATACAGGTAGGTCATGTTTTCCTTCCCTTTTGTAGTTAGCTTTTCTGCATTTAAAGAAGTGGAGGAAAGATTTCAAGGTAAAAAGTGCACTTACTTACCTGTCCATATATTCAGTATGAATTAAAATTACAACAAAGGTGGTTTTGAACCTGCATTTGTGATTCTGAGCTACCAATTTTGTTTCCTTTGTTTCCTGGATGTCTAGGAAGGAAACCTGTATACTTCCTTCTGTTACATAAGAATTCCTTTTTATGTATGAAAATTTCTCTTCTTTATCTCCAAATTGTCCTTTAAATCCTTGCAGTTGCTTCCAGGTTCATAGATGACATGGAAAAGAAGGCCGAGTCAATTAAGAACTTGTCTGTATATTATATATAGATGGACATCTGTATAAGGAAAGATGTCATTTAATTTAATTATTAATTGCTTATGAAGGCAAGGATGAATTGGCCCATCTAGCCATGTAGGTGATTTTTTTCATATGTTATTAAGAAATATCACAGTATGTGTGTGCTGGCCTCAACCCATTTGATCTTTTTATAGTAGCTTACATTATAAAAGTTAAAATGAGAAGACACATTATATATATATATATGTATGTGTGTGTGTGTGTCTATATATATGTCTCGAATGCTGGAGAAAGTATAGTCTACTGCTGACAAAGACCCTCTGCCCTGAGTCATGTTTTGACTATTATGATGCTTTCCATCTCAAGAGCAGATTTTTAAATACCTGAGGAAATATACTCCCTTTGTTGGTTCTGTCTTACTGTCAGTGATAACATTGGCTTCCCTCCCCCCAATCTAAGCTTTGAATGGCCAAGTTTGCTTTCTAAAGAAATTTATTTAGTTTTTTAAATGACCTACACAAGCTATGAATATTCTGTTGAGCCTGGAATCTAGTATGTGTCAAAAAATAAAAATGAATTTTATTATCCAGTGTCCAGTGTTCTATGCAGCGCTTTTTCTTTCTATTAATAATATGTGAGTTGTAGAAAGGTTTTCAGACAGTATTTGTTCTAGAGGAGTAGGTATGGCCAAAGTGTTTATGTTATTCATTAACACATGAGCAGTATATGATCTTGTATGCTGGGAATTCCATGTTCTTTAAAAAAAAAAATCTAGTATTGTAATTCCTTGATTTTTAATCATAATGCTAAAGAAATATGATATTCTTGGTGGAGTTGTAGTAATAAAATTTAGCAAAATGCATACATGAACATTTATTCAATATACAAATAGATGTAGGCCATTTAGTATTGGCAGCATATTTTTCTGTTGATATCAGTTAAAGTTTATGTAAACATTTTGTATGTTTTAGTCTTTTTCATCCATCAAAGCATAATATTTGTGCTGAGAAATCTACCATTAAATAGAATATTTATGTTGCATTAGGATCCAACAGGATCCCGTGCCGTAATCTGCTTTTGTGAAATACATCATAATGAAACATTTTGAAATATGAAAGTTGTGTAAAAGATGACCAAATAAGTCTGCTGTTTGTGTAGCTGCTTGAAATTTGTGTAAATTTTATATCTGATTAAATGCAAATATTTTGATGTTCCTCTTTAGCTATTAAACAGTTTCAGTAAGTGTTCAGAAGTAAAAGTAATTTGCAGTGTAGGAGTGTAGGCAGCTTTGATTTCCCCCATGTTCACATGAAATTGGGGGATAACTTGCTATACAACTTCCAGTAGAAAGTTGATTACTTTGGACCTTCTTTTCATTAACTGTGGAGATGCAGAGCTGCCTGCTCTAGGATGTGCAGGCCTGGTTTTGGAACTGAAACCTTTTTATCTCACAGATTGTAGATTTGTAATCTAGTATCTACTGTTATTTTCACAGGCATGTATGTGGTGACATGGGCACCTGGGCCTTGGCTTCTTTATTTTTAAAAGCTGCTATACATTTATCAAAAAGAGTCTTTGACACCATAATTCTGTTACTACAGATAAAATTTGGCATTTTGACATGGAAAAAATCTTGTAAGACTGTTAATGAAGCTAAATGCACGTGTGTCTGTGTGTGTATGTGACAGCTACAAATCTGTGCAGTGTGCCCATATTGTCTCTCTACTGTTTCAACAATGATCTGAAACTTTTTAAGTTTATAGAAGAGTACAGTACTTGTAATAATTTGGCATACGTTACACTGCATAAGCCTTTTAAAAAAATAGTGATAGAAAATTAGCTCTAGCTTTTATTTGTTGTTTCTTTACTTTTTTTTTCCTTCAATCTTCAGATTTGGTAGTCTGTTGCACTTGGAGCAATAGGCTGTTGAACAGCTTTGTCTTCATTGCAACTAATTTCATTTTAGTGTTACATTTAGAAACATTGCCAGCTTTGTTTCATTATTTTAGCTGTCTAGTTCCACAGCCTTGGAAGGGAAAGGACAATTAAAATTTACTTCGGGCAGATGGAGTCCACACCACAATTGTACCCAGATTGCCACGGCCAACGATACCGCTGTCCGAGGCTGGGACACACGGAGCATGAGGTAAGGACAGCTTGCAGTCCTGTTCTCTAGAAAAGCAATCTCCTTTGGAGGGAGATTTTTGCATTGCCACTAGCATAAGTTTTTTGTTTGAAATGATAAGTGGCAATCCTATAGTTTATAAAAGGAATAGAAAGGCTTGCATAGCTGATATAGTTACAATTTAACAAAGATTTTTCTCTGGTATTCCCCCTCAGCTTCAATTCTAACTTGTATATTGAGTTTTATTGAACCATGTACTAGTCTCACGAGGATTTGTTCAATACATAGGAATTACCTGAATGAAGCTGTTTTGTAATTCAACCTGAAAATGCTTCAACAACAGTCCTGACTATGCTATGAACTATATTCATAGCATTTAAAGGTGACTTTAATCTTTGAAGGCAATTCACAAGTTCACTCTTCACTTCTGATTTTAACAAAGTGTTCTATACTAGACTAATGATTGTAGCATACTGGTTGTAAGAAATCACTGAATCTATCAAAATCATAACCAAATAAAAGCTTTGAATATACCTAATAAGGCATTTCCCCCCCCCCCTTCTTAGTTGTGATTTTGATAAGCAAATGAGTGATGTTGTGCACATCTGTTGCCATGACTACTAAAGCCTCTTCAAGCTTTTTTAAAAGTACACTTTATCCCCTTAGCACATAGTAATTTATCAGGAAACTGAGAAGACTGATGTCTTGTAATAACTTTTGTTGCTTTAAAGGGCGATGACTTTAAATTTAGTTCAGTGGTTCCTGCCAGCTCAGAGTTGCAGCAATAAATCCCTTGTTTGCTAGTCTTTGTGGTTTTGCTGAAAAGATTTATTTAATGAAGGAAAGTTAAAAATACAATAATTAAAAATCACTTCCTGTGAAGTGTTTGAAAATCATGTTCTTTGCCTTGTAGAATTATATATAAAAATCTAAAATTTCATCTAAAATCTAAAATTACATAAAAATTTTATGTAATGTGTATACTTAGATTTATTAAGACACCTTATAAAGACAAGATAAAGACAAGAGTGGAAAGAGAGGACAAAGGAGAAGGGGTTTTATTAATTTGCCTTTTTTTTTTTGTAGTCCTATTTCTAGCATTTAGCATGCAGATCTTTAACCAAAGCCTGTGTTTTGAAGAAAGAATATTAAATATTGTAAAGTCCGCTTCATGCTCTGTCTCATTAGAAGAAGCATCTCTATCTTGCATTAAAGGAATTCTCTGAGTAACTTCCATGAAAGCTAGATTATCTGGATATTGTAGTCTGGATCCTCAGTGAAAGGTGTAGCTTGGTTAACAGAAGGAAATACCACTATTGTATTTACTTTAAGTAAAGCTCAGAATAATTAAGTCCTAAAAACTGATTGGTCCTTGAACCAGTTTGATAACTAGGCTATGCCAAAGAGCTGTTTGCAATATACTCAAAAAGTATGTACAATAGTAAGTCTCATGTTCAATTAGGCTGTAATATGTCTATTATGTGAATATTTCATAATGATTAGTTGGGCTAGAAGTAGGAGTTTAAAGCCAGGGCAGTATAAACTGTAGCAGTATAAGAAGCATAAAAAGAAGGAGGAGGGAGGAATCAAGGGCAGAAAACTGTCCTACCAGCAAAGTGAAGAGAAATACTAGAGGCAGCTAGAGTAGCTGCTCCTGTAGAGTGTGGTTATGATAGCTGTAAGATAGAGGAAGTACATTCTTTTGGACATAGCAAACAAAGAAGGGGAGAGAAAAAAAATGATTGTCAGGAAGAGTCCTAGACTAGACTAAGAAGCAGTCTTAATCAGAGAAGAGCTTGTGAAGCAGAGAAGACAGACACTAGGCTGATTGGATTTAGAGAGAGAACTTTATCAGGAAAATTCAGACTCCAAGTCTAAATTCTAAATAATATGTAAGAAGAATAATATGAGCCAATAGCTGGAGAAAATGTTCATGTGGTCTGGCATTAATCTTATAATGCAAGTGGGAAATTTAGTGTATGTATTATTGCTGTAGGTACGGTGAAAAGTGATGAAAAGAATACTCATATTTGGGGAGGAAATGGATCAAATGGTCAGAATAATAGTTAAGTTGGGATAAAGTCTTTCATGGCGAATAGTCCTGAATATACAATGGACAGTATTTTTAAGCCCTTACACACAGGTCTAAGCAATGCAAGAAAAAAGTGAAAGGTGCAGTGATGTCACAGACATCTTTTATGAAAAATCCTTTCCTTAGGATTTTTCCTCCTGAGAAGCTGAGAGGCCTCAGGAACAAAATGTAAACAATGGCTGTCTGCTGCTGTGGAATGCAACAGGTGGATCTTTGATTTGGCCCATCTTGGTTGTTTCTAATTAATGGCCAATCACAGTCAGCTGGCTTGGACAGAGAGTCTGAGCCACAAGCCTTTGTTATAATCCTTCCTATTCTATTCTTAGCTAGCCTTCTGAGGAAATCCTTTCTTCTATTCTTTTAGTATAGTTTTAATGTAATATATATCATAAAATAATAAATCAAGCCTTCTGAAACATGGAGTCAAATCCACGTCTCTTTCCTCATCCAAAAACCCCTGTGAACACTGTCACAGTGCAGTGAAGAAGGAAAGATGTGTTTCACCACAGCAAGCATGCTTGAGACTTAGTATTTTTGCCGTATACATATTCTAAAAAAATAAGTGGAAGCTTGAATTCCACTCCTAGAATACTTGGTAGAAAGTATACCTGAATGATATCCTTAGCCTCTCAAACTCTAAGGAGAGTGTTGATGCTAGATATCTTTGTAATTTCACTGGTGACAGCCAGAACTGTCAAGACAGGGCTTAGTACAGGCCTGATAACTTTCAATCTCTCCTTCTGGGGCAATTTTGCTTTGTATTCGTAGTTAGGTATTAACAGCAAGAGACTATCTGATCATGACAGAAGACCATAAGTATATGTAGTTTTCACAAGAAATAGGAAGTTTTGGTCAATATGTTTACTGAAGTGAAACATTTTTCATTTAAAGAAAAACAAAAAGCTCATCAAGTGTTGAAAAGTTCCAGTGAAGATTGTAGGAGATGGTCAAGTCTAAGCAGAACTTTAGATGATATATTGGTGGCCTGGAGAAAACTGGTCATACCATTGTGGAAACAGGAAAAATCAGACAACCCACAAGTTTAAGAGGCAAGGTAGGGATACAAACTGATGGCACATCAGTTGATATCATCAGTTTGAATAGATATGCTAGGTTGTTAGCAGTACTACAGAGGTTTTCTAAAGTGATCCAGATGGATGAGGTTGTGTCTGGCTGGGTAGTTTAAGGGCCACAGGTAAATTAGTGATAAATGCAAGCGTTCAAGAAGGTAAATTCAGTACAGAGCAGTCATAAAAAGCTGTCATTATATCTGTTGCAGCCTTTGCATCTCAGCTTTTCCTACTGAAGTAGATGTCATAAATAGGGAATTAGTATAACTACTTAGGGGTGAAGAAGTTCTTACCTGAAACTGTTGTGGTTTAGTAGCAGACATTTATAAATTTGTTACAGAGCTGTGCTAGAATCATCTGGAACTACTATTTCCTTTTAACTTCAGATGATCCTAATAGAAACAAACATGGAAGGAACTAAGAGTCAAAGCAAGCTGAGAAATCTATACAAGTCACTGTTGTTAACAACTGGGAATTCCCTAAACTCTGCAATAGCAATGGGAACTCTAGGTCTGTGGGTGCTCAGGGGATTATGCAAGTTTCCAGGGAAACAGATTTCTGTAGGTGGAGTGCAGTCAGCTTTTATAGACCATTTAATTTTTTTAATGTTTTACAGGCAGATATATTGTATAGAAAATGCACACGGGCAGCTGGTACGAGACCTGGACTTCAATCCCAATAAACAGTACTACCTGGCTAGCTGTGGAGATGACTGCAAGGTGAAATTCTGGGACACAAGAAATGTCACAGAACCAGTGAAGACACTAGAGGAGCATTCCCACTGGTAGAACAAATTATCTGCATGCTGTTTTGTGGGTGGATGGCTTATATCATTTATTCAGCTAATTATTTTATCGTTTAGGAGCAATGCAAACTAACTATGTTTGTGCAATTGTGCATAATCATTTTTTTGCACAGAGGAAAAGTTTCAGCATGTCAGTGTTCCTTGTGCAATTGTAAATTAGGAGTTTAGACAACATTAGTCTAATTGGCAAGGAACTGTTGTTAGTATTGTTGGGAGATGGGTACACCTTTGAGAAGCACAGCACAGAACTTGGCCCGTGGGGCTCAGCTGGGACACAGGTGTGCCTTCCCAAATGGAGCCTGATGGGCTGCACCTGATGTGCAGTAATAAAGCAGCTGCCATCCATCCTTCTGTTGTCACATGGTTGAAATGTTCAGTAATGCAGCTCAACTTTTTTTATGTTCTTCACAGTCCTTAAGTCAGAATATGCAAGTGAATAATTTTATTCTCTGAAATAACATTTAGAGCCAGTATCTACTGCACTGGCCTGTGGCTGGAGTAAGGAGAGAATCTTGCCTGATAATTTCAGTGCTTAAGAAAAGATGAATTATTCATATTTTATAAAATTTGGGTTAGAGTTATTCTTGCAAAATAGATCCAGTCCCTAAAGCTACTTCAAGGGAAATGAAGATGGGAATTAACAGAAACATTATTTATACTTTTTTTCTTCAGTATATTCAAAGAAAAAGAATAAAACAACAATCATAAGACATTTGGTATTAACTTGATATGTAAAATGTAAAAATTGAAGAGAAATATAGTCCTGCATTTGTTTTAGGATCTATTTTAAACTTCACTGTAAGAATGTTGTGAGTTTTTTGTTTAAAAGGCTATTTTTAATACATATTTTGCTTTAGGGAAATTTTTGTATTCAGGACTTAAGTACTTATCTGGCTTACTCAACAATGAATTGGCATGTACCCTCAAGGAATGATACCATTGAATGGTGTGATTTGGTTTTGTTTTGTTTTCTTTTTTTTTTTTAATTGTTAAATTTTAAAGATGCCTCATAGAAAAGAGGTGACATGGAAGCTTAAAAGTCTAATGAAGATGGCAAGAAAAATGGTCTTTGGAATGAGGCATGTTACTTCTATGCATATTTAAAACATTGAAAAGATGAATTTTTAGTGCTGCTCTTAAAAAAATTGCTTAACAGTGATGCACTACCTACTATGAATAGTCTCTCATTCTGTCTGATTTTAACTTTTTTAGGGTCTGGAATGTCAGATACAATCATTCTCATGATCAGCTGATCCTTACAGGAAGCAGTGATAGCAGAGTTATCCTGTCTAATATGGTATCAATTTCTTCTGAACCATTTGGCCATATGGTAGATGATGATGAACTCAGTGACCAGGAGGACCAGCATCAAGAAGAGAAGTATGAAGTTTCCTGACTTTTATGTAGATGCTTATAATTTGTTGTTTCATTGTAATAGTTTACATGCTATTTTTTTTTTGCTGACTAGGATTTTTGTGTACAGGCCTTTCAGGTAAGTAGTTAGAATTCCCACTTTGTTCTTTATTCAGTCTTGAGTGGAATACACTCTTTAAATCTGATTGGCATGGTCACTCCACATTCACTGGTAGGAAGGGAATGGTGATGCTGGGGATCAGTCCTAAAGTCCACTGGGTTGGTGAAAAGATTCACTTTAAGGGACCTCTGTTTCAAGTCAAGCATGTAGAATAATCTGGGTTAAGTTGCAATTTGAAAATATGCTTTTGTATTTTCTGTGTATGTGTTAGGACCTTTGGGAAATGTTACCAGTCTAATGATGAGCTTCTGCATAGGCAGAAGAAATGAAGTATAAACACATTATTATTTTTTTTTAATTTTGCTCTTAATATCTCTGACTGCTCTGGAACCCAGTAACTCATCAGACCTAGATCAAGCAAACCAGAAGCTTGGTTTCAACACTCTTGGTAGAGAATAGTGCATGGTATTGGCAAATGTGGTAAACCCATCCATTTGGTTTGTATGGAATCAAATATTTTCCTTGTGAATTTTGTAGGGATTTAGTAATTTAGGGATTTAGGGGTTTTTGTAGGGGTTTTAGTAAATTAACTGTATCTATGTGTATATAGGAAGTTCTGTAGATTGAGGTTGGGTCGAGGCTTTCTAATTTTGTGACTAGCTTTCATGGTGATCTTCAGCAAACTCCTCCTTCCTACAAAGTGAATCACAGAATTATAGAATGAATTAGATTGGAAAAGACCTCTGAGATCAGAGTCCAGCCTCTGACTGAACATTATTGTGTCAAGTAGACCCTGGCAATGACTGCCACCCTCAGTCTTTACTCAGACACCCCCAGGGATGGTGATTCCACTGCCTCTCTGGGCAGCCCATTCCAATTTCTAATCACGCTTTCTGCGAAGAAATTTCTCTAAATGTCCAACCTAAACCTCACCTGGTATAGCTCGAGGCTGTGTCCTCTCCTGTCACTTGTTGCATGGAAGAAGAGACTGACCCCCAGCTGGCTACAGTATCCTGTTAGGCAGTTGTAGAGGGCAGTAAGGTCACCCCTGAGCCTCCTGCAGACTAAGCAACCCCAGCTCCCTCAACCCCTCCTCATATGATTTACTCATTAGACCCTTCACCAGCTCCATTGCCCTCTTCTGGACAGCTCTACTAAGCTGTCTGCAATGACACAGGCAGATTAACTCCTGAATGATCTTTTAAAATAAAGAATAGTCAGATGTGATAAGGAAATTACAAAAAGGTCCCCTAGTTATTCAGCTGTGTTTGGTAGATGTTTCAGCTAAATTTCTTAAAGTTTAGGTTACTTCTCTAGTTGCATTTTTACGGTTGCTCTTGAACCTTAATTTTGTTAATACATATGCAGTTTTACTCCAAATAGTTTTGGTGTTTTGGCTTCATTTAAACTATGGACCTGGGAACAATTATATTTTAATACTAAGTAAGAAAGTTACTCCATATATAGAAAAGGTTTATTTTAAATGTACCACATTTCATTAGAAGATTTTCTCCGTGTATTGTAAGTGCCTGAAAAATCAGGGAGTATCAAATTAAATACCTAAAAATTTGCTCACATCAGCAGTATATACTTTCTTTCTAGAATGTAACCAAGTTACAGTGTTTTAAATATAAAATCAAAGAATGGTTTGTGTTGGAAGGGATCTTAAAGATCACCTAGTTTCAACTCCCCTGCCATGGGCAGGGACATCTTTTGGTTCCTCACCTTTGGCTGGAGATTGAAATTTATTCTGTTCTGGATGGAAAACAAATAGCATTAATGAAAATGAGAAAGAGACCACATTTTTTTAATGTGGTGGGAATGCATTAAAAATATCACAAGTAAATAGCATTCTGATAGACATTGTGCAGTATGGAATGCTGAACTTCTGTGGATTTTAGACTGTATAGGTTGCCTCATTAAAACATGAGTCAGTGTTCTAGAATATGAATTTTTTAATCCAAGATCATCCAGTGCAATACAACAAATATAATGCATCTTTTCCCATGGCTGTGGGATGGATGTAAACCACATCATGAATGACTTGTATAGTAATGATGTAGAGTCCTTGCCTGTTCCTGGAGGCTACAAGAGTATCAATTCTGCATTTGCTTTTTAAATATGTGCTTTTCAACTGCTCACCTGTTTTTTTATAAAACATGGGAAAGCACATTAGCTTTTGTAACCTTTGCTTGGTACTGTGAAAGTCTTGTTTTAGGCTCCGTCTTCTGCCCCCTTGTAATGAGTTGAGTCAGAGGGATGTTTGCAAGCTGCTGCAGCCTTGAACTGTTGCCAAATATATGTCTGTTTAGTTCTGAGTGCACAAATGAAGTAGGGCATAACAGCTGTTGGGAATACTTCTTGTTAGTCAACCACTAGTGCCAAATATTTCGGCTCTGATACCCTCCTGGAGACCTCTGTGAAGAGTCTGTTACACCATTCCATGGGTACTGTCTTTTGTAAAATACAGGTTTTCACTCTATGGTTTAATGAGGGAGGGGTGTATTTGTTGGTTTCTTTTGGGGTTTTTTTTTTGTTGCTTTTTGTTTTGTTTTAGTGGTTTTTTTGGTGTTTTCTGGTTTTGTTTTGGCTTTTTTTTGTGTTTTTTTTTTTTCTTTGGTTTTTTTTTTTTTTTTTTGCTTAGGTATATTCTAGACTTTCTGGAAAGTGTTACAGTCTCACAAGGTTCATTTATCCTGTTTTGGAGGACATCTGATATGTTGTTAAACAGCACACAAATACTGATAATTAGAATGTCTTTTTCAGGTGTATCTTGAAATACACCAGGAAGAGCCTGTATTTGTACAACTTATGTCTCTAGCCAGTCCCCCTCAGACTGAGTACCGTATCTCTCTTGGAAAGTTAAAATATCAAGTGGAAAGAAAGAAAAAGACTCTTTCTGCATTTTATTTTCCTGAACAGAATCACTTGTGAAAATCGTCCTTGGAATACATATAAAAATGATAAGTATGTGTCAGTTTTATTTTCAAAGGTTTATTGTTTTTTCTACTTAGTAAAGTCCCCATATTTTGAAAACATTGCACAGTTAGAACTGTTTCTTGAGATCTTTAAGCCATGTTAATTCTTGATATCTTTTACAGTAAATTTCCTTATTTGTACTTTATTTCTTGGTTGGAGACAAAAACTAATAGTACGTCACTTTAACCCTTCCTTGTTCAACCATGTAGAGCTATGCATGAGTCTACCCACTCAATAATTCTTGCCAGATTTACTGCTGTAGTTGCCTGGTTTTAAGGTTCCCAACTGAAAATAATTATTTGGAGAGAAATTTTTTCAAAAGAAAAGAATTCAAGTTCATTCCATAATGAGTAGACAAACTAAAAGATAGTTTGGATTGTCTTATGAAGATTCTTCATAAGAATTTCTTCTTAGTGTGTTCTTCCTTCAGTGTTTGTCTGTTGACATCTTGGGCCTGTCTGCTCCCATCTTAAAGACCAGAACATGCTTGAATGAGCAATATAACTAGGACTGTTGCATGAAGATCTATCTCTTGCTGAAATCAAGTGACTACTGGTTCCTCTTAACTGCTGGTTTAGATCAGACTCTAAGTCAAGTCTGTCTTTTCCCTACTGTTTAACTGCTGCAGTTGTTTCTCTCATCAGTCAAAAAAGGTAAGAGCAGGCAGCTTCCCTGTGTCATGTCAAAGGTTTTCCTAGCATGTATCATGTGTCTCATAGTAGTCAGGAGGAAAAATAATAGAAATAGGAAAAGGAGATGTACTTCCCCTGGATATGGTGCTAGCCCCTGACTATTTGCAGTTCAGGGACATTTACTGCCTTCTGAATAATCTTTGAGGACTTCTGATTCTTCCATGTATGCTTTTCCTTTGCTATCAGCCATATTCTTATCTGCTCTCACTAACTGTGAATTAAGAAAGGCTTCAGTGCTCTCTGTCTGGGAAGCACAAAATCACTGTTGAAAATAGGTAGTCTAAGAAGAGGCTGGAGTTGTCCACAGAGAAGAGCTACAGGCATGTGGCCAAAGGACAGCTATGCTATATTCTGGTCAAGTCCCCAGTCTGGATTATTTAAAGAGCAGTTCAAATATGGGGGGAAAAAACCCCACAACTGAGAATGAAGTGCTGTACTGGTTCAGTTTCTAGCACCTTGATCCAAAGGTAGAAAAAAGTGTACAAAATAAATGAAAATAGAACAGATGAGGGTGAGTACAACTTGGGTTCATTTAGGTTTCATCCCCAAATGCCTGGATAAGAACATAAGGAGTGATTTTCAATGCCTAAGTTTGAACAAAACTTTCAAAACATGGAATCATTCCACATCTGTGGATGCAATTGCTTGTCAGGCTTCTCGTTGACCTCCTTTAGTGGCTTTGCACTCTGTTGTTGCAAGAACTTTCTCCCTGCAACACTGAGCTAGCTTGAGTCCTAAATCTCCTGAAGGTTACTGTCAGCTCCCTGTTAGATACTAGGAGAGCACTGGGAACTATCTTCCTCCTAATGGAGGTAGTGATTGTCTTATATCTTTCCTTTAGTCTTTGGTCATCCAAAATCCTGATGTTAGTGAGTGAGTCTATATGTTACTGTATTAAATTATTCTGATAGTCATTTAAACTCTACATTGCTCTTTCTAACAATAAAAGAAAGCTACTAGGTTCTTGTAGTTTAGTGTGACCATCTTTACTTGCCAATCAGGATTCCTTTTCTTCAGTTACTCCAATATGTTTGTTTGCCTTATAGGTTTAAATTATGCACTGTGTAGGTCTCTGTTTGCTATGCTGGTGATACACAGCATGAGAAGAATATTTGGAGTCATAGGAGCACCAGCAGCAAGGTACATGCTGTATCTACAGCAGTGTTTTTGTTCTTCATGAGTTCTGTAGCCAGAACTTTGTGACAAGGCTCAACTGGTAATGGAGGACTTACTCTTTAAGAGAAAAAAACTTATTCTGTATCCATAACAATGAAAATATTTATATAGTCAATAACATTTTGAGTTTATATATCAGTCCTGTAAAGGAAGCCATCCTAAAACTTTAATTTTGCAGTTTAAGCTACCAGTTCCTTTAGTTTTCTATGGGATTTACAGGCTTTAAGATGTTTGCTGTTTTCACTGGCAGAACTGATTACTAAGGTCAGGATGCTGCCTTCTCACTTCTGTTACATTTTTTGATGATATGTTCTAAAATAATGATAATCTTTGTTATCCTTTGAAGATTGTACCAGAAAATACAGTTTTAGTGTTTTTCCTGAAGGCTTATGTTTCCATCTTTTTTGTCATAGATGTTAGCCATAATGTCCTTAAATACAAACAGAAGATCTAAAAAAGCACTTCTCAATATTTTATATTGAATGCTGAGAGATGTAAAAGATTAGTTCTTCCTGTACAGAGTATCTCACTTGAGATGATGAAGTTTTTAATGGGATGTTATGTGTGGGAACATCTTCAGCTATTGGAATGGACCAGAGAGAAAATGGTGGTGGTCACCCTCTCTGTAGAAAGAGACTTTCTTCAAAATTCTATCTAAAGAAGTTGGTGATATCCACTTTTCATGATAGAAATGGAGTTTAGAGATTTTTGAATAAATAATGTGGTTTCACAATATTACATATGAGCTGTGCAATCTAACGTAGCACCTTTGTATGTGCATCTGTGACTCCAGGAGAGAGATTTGTCAGCGTTGATCTTTTGAAAAGTATTTGCCAAACGTGCTGAGGCAGGCTTTCAGGATATTTTCACACAGCTGTCAGCAGTGTTAAATTTGATGCTATTTTGCTTTTGATATTAATGTCTTGGAGAAACCTGAAGTCATAGGATTATGCTATGGAATCAACCAAGAGACCTAATTAATTAAAACAGGTTAAATAGTTTCTCTTTTGGGGAAGGCCAGGATTCAGGACTACTTTGTTGGGTGTGTAAGAAGCTGAGCAAAATGTAGTGCAGCAGCACTTTTCAGTTCCAAGACACTTTTCTTTAAAAGCTTCTGGTTTTCCTGTAGTATTTCTTTCTTTAACCCTCATCAGCAAGTATATCTTCCTTAACTTATTTTTCATATTAGGACATCTATGAAACCTGTTACATAAAAATATGCTTTTCCTGTTTTCCTGGGGAAGCAATTCAGAAAGCTCTTTTTTTGAATAAAAAAAAATTATGATGTTTGGAATAGTATGAATGGCCAATTATTATCTATTAAAAATGTGTCCAAGAATAAGTATACTTGAACTCAGGCTTTTTAAAAGGCAGGTAGTGTGTTGTCTAATCTTATCAGAAACAATTTTCTCTTGAAGTCAAAAGGAAAGTGCATCCATGGGCTTAAACTAGAATCCAGTGCTATGCTTTTCAGGATTCATTTTTGGATGCTGCAGCATATGCTGCTGCTCTATTGATTCCTTTCCATTTCATAGTGGTTTTTAGATTAAAGAGGATTTAATTTTGACTGTGATAAGGAATTAATGATTTTTGCTGACTGAAAACCATATTTTATTGAACACTGTGGTGACAAAACAGAATTGCAAGCACTGCAAACTTAAGTGGTTGTTACCATGAGAAGTAATTGGAAATAACAGCTTTCTACATGAAAACAATTATCCAAGGCTGAACAAGCTTCTTTTTTGAATCTGTAACACAATTAACCTCAAAGTTATCTAGTAAAATAAAAGCTTCTCTCCTTTCATAGAAGCTGGTTGGGGTCATGCTGTTTGAATAAGACTACAGAGAAAACACAGTCCATTTTCAGCTCTGTGTGGCACATGTCTGAAATTTATGCACGATGTAGGTAGAGACTGCACATCTCATACTACGATTTCTTGGTGGCAAAGGGAATGTGGTGCATTTTTTTGTCAGTTGATGCAGTGCAAGAACATATAGAAGAAAAGCTATTTTAGTCTGGTCAGAATAAAATCTTCAAAACAGATAGGAAAGTAAGAAACTAAAGAAACATGTTAAGAGTCAGGAAGATCTGGGGCAAGGAAGAAAATAGCTTACTAAGCTTGCCAGGTGTAACAAGGGATTACCAAGTATGCTATCAAATACAGTCACAGAATCACAGAATGAGCTGAGTTGGAAGGGGCCCACAAGGCTCATTGAGTCCAGCTGCTGGCCTTGCACAGCACCATCTCTCAATCATGGGATCAGTAGGCCAAGCACCTACATCTGTGGCACACTGGACTAGCTATATAGTGTAGCTGTCCATGCTGTACATAGCTGTTCTGTACACACATGCATGCTATATATACAGCTACATACAGCTGATTTTATAGCCTGCAGCTTTTAAGTAAAAACAGATACCTCTGTGTTCTGGCAACCATGTGAATTATACCTATATTAAAGTAGCATAGAAGAAAGTTTATTTCGTATCCAGTTCTGCACAGCTATTCTTCTTGTTAATCTGAGATGATTCTTTATTAAATAAATATGTGTAAAAGATGTGGAAAATTTTATTTGGGGTGCATAAATTGTTGTGTGACTCAGGAACAGAACAATTCTAAGTATCTAGATTAAAATAGATACAAAAATAGTGTCCTCAGCCTATTCTTGGATTACAAAGAAAAACAAATATAGCCAAAATGAGAGAAATCTGAGGTATTTTCTCAGAAATCTCTTAGCATCAGGTAAGGAAGTCTGCCTCTAAGAGATTCCTGTTGTGAGGAAAAAAAACTCATCACAAACAAGTCAGCTCCTTATATTGGTTTTTTTTTTTTTTTTAATGTTTTAGAACAGTCTTTCACATACATGAAATGAATTCTGCTTTTTATTCCACTAGCAGAATCCTTCTGGGCTCATTACCCATTGCATAATTGAAAAGCTAATCTATTTTCATTCATCGTGATTGTAAAGGATGCTCATGGACAATTTCTTTTGGATCTTCTGTATTGTGCCTGAGACACATGTTGGTTTGAGATGATTTTTTTCCATCCTGGTTGTCTTGTACAGTATCTAGCTCTTTTACACCAAGTGATCACTTCCATAAGGATTGTTTGAGTCTCAATAACTGTTTCAAGGCTGTGCCATTGGCCTGAAGAACCACATTGGAGTAGTATGCTTTCTTTTTCTGGGAAGGCACAAAATTTGCTTTTATACCAAAGAGGAAATTCAGTGTATAGACAATAATAAAACCCAGTTAAAAACTGTACTTATAAATGGAAATGCCCAACACAAATTCATCTACAGGCTTGTTTCCTGAACACTCATTCCCCTTATGACTCCTGTAAATTAATTTAGATGAGCTGTATTATTTAAATGAAACACTGAAACAACTGTGTGCATACAGAAAATAGTGTAATCTAGAAGCTTATTTGTCCTTGTTTATCCAGCCTTGGGTTAACTGCAATTCCTGGTTAGCTGAAAGTCGGTCGTGTCCCCTGACAGCCATGTGCAGTGTGCATTACTCCCCTGCTCATCCAGAGAGACAGCTGAAACCTTCAGAATAATGGAGTTGTGGGTAAGTGGGTGAGCACTGCACGAAGCACATTGCTGTCTGGGGACATGACCAACTTTCACTTAACCAGGCATGTCAGTTAGCAGGAAGTTAGAAAAACACGTTGCAGGAGATGAAGTGTCTGTATGTGTTCGTTAGCTCTCTGCTGTTAGTAGCTTTGTATCAAAGTTCATATTCAGGAGAACTGCAAAACAATTAACTGCAGTTAACCAGGGACTGGGCGTTAGTTGTGCTGCGACCTTTTTTGGTTAGTTGACCTTTAATGTAGCACAAGTAAATGGTAAAAATCCTTGAAAATACATATCTGAAGGTATTCTACAGTATGAGTCTGCTTTTGGTTTCTTCATTAAACTCAATTGAATTTTAATTGCAGTGTTAGATTCTCAGCTGGCTAGGTGGGGCAGCAATACCCTGCAGAAGATCCTACTGTGCTCCATCCAGGCTTTATGATTGCAGAACTGCATGCTTTCAGAGAGCAGCAGGAAAGGGCACAGGCAGCCAATAACAACACTTCATTTCTGTAGTAGCAGCATCTGTTTAAATGATTGAGTGATATTCACAAGGCTCTTTGGCTTTGCTTTCCATGAGGAGGGTTGCAGCTGTACTGCAAGGCTGTTTCTAGGAGGCAGAGAGCTGCCTCTGAAGGGCTGACTGATTCTTTTCAGACAGAGACAATTCTCTGTGGCTGAAAGGAGCTCTAAGGTCATCCTCTGAAAACTCCCCTACCCTGTAGCTACAGAATAATGTGCTGTAGTGGTGCTTTGAGAGGAGAGACTGGCCTTGGGAATGGAGGCAGGAGGGGCTGTGCTCAGTTAGCAGAGTACAATCAATGACTCTTGAGTACTTGATTTGGACTTCAGAGAGTTTCTTAACTCTCTTGAATATTTACAATGTAGAAGGCACTCTGTGTCTCTCCTATGGTGTAGGTGACCAGGAGCTTTACTGCTGCAGTGAGAGGTGGGGTATACAATAGTGGATGAGAATCTGGTGCTGATGTAACTCTAGCAATGGGAGATAAAAATCAGAGTGGTGGTTCCATCCCCTTCCATAATTCTGGAGAGCATGGGATGTTTAGGGACTGCAACTTCTTACCCATCTACATATCTCTAAGACTGTGTATTATTTTAAGAATTCATTTAACAATGAAGGGGGAGAAGATAGGATGTAACATGATGAGAGAAAAGATGTGTTTGCAAAGTTGTGCATTTAGATCATGCCATGTAGCTTACCTTGCTTTAGAGCGTGAGAGATGCTTAGTGTAGGTTCTGAGAAACAGAAAATGCACTGAAATTTAGAGTAAGAGTTACTTTGTCCCTGTAAATGGGGTCTTTTGCACTGACTTGACTTTGCTGTCATGTAAAACATAAGTACATGTAAATGTAAGGTATAAAATATTCCCTTAGAACCTATTACTGCATTCTTATACTTTAAATGGGGTTTTATGTATCTTGATGTTAGTGACACTTAATATGGCCTTTGAAATCAAGTGTGTCCACAAATCCTTACCAATTTTTTTGGTGTTTGTTTTCCATTTTAGGATTAAAGAGCCCCTTCAGGACAGTGTAATAGCTACCTATGAAGAACATGAAGATAGCGTATATGCAGTGGAATGGTCCTCAGCAGACCCGTGGCTATTTGCATCTTTAAGTTATGATGGGAGACTGGTTATTAACAGGGTTCCAAGAGCCCTTAAATATCATATACTGTTATAATTTGTTTGAGTTATTCTGGAGCTGTTAACTTGATGTACACAACTGGTAGGTATTGTTAAAGGGTTTTTTCAGGATCTGGTTTTTTTTAAGTATTAAAGTTACAATTTTGTTAGGAATATCTCTACTGATGTAGACTTGTAATTTTGTCTTTTATATTTGCCTTGAGAAACTATGATGCATTTTCTGAAGGCTGTGCTACCTAGATGATTGAGGGGTTAATCACTTTGTGAACTCTAAAGTTTCTGCTGATAATGGGTACATTCCATACTATTGCTTTATTACATCAGCTTTATGCAAATATAAGGAATTACGGAAATGTTATTATGCTGATACAAAACTGGGACACTGTAGGGTTCATGTAGCAGAAGCATGGATCTACTTGTTTTCAAGAATAATATTCTACATTTCTTGTATATGCAGCCTTCTGCTTTTAGCTAGGGCCATGTTCCACTAATTGTTCTGGCTATAAATACAGTTGGAAGTGGTCTTAAAAGGCTTTCTTAATACCATCTAATATTTTAAACACTTTTTCTCCCATTTTGCATGTCTTCAGAAGGAATGTTTTTTGTGAAAGTGAAACCTTCGAAATATAATTTTCATTTGAGCCTTTTGGTAGTAGCAACAAAGTCAAATCCTGCAAATTGTGAACTAATTCTCAGTTCTCAGATATGTATTGTTCTGCAATTCTCAGATATGTATTGTTACTGGAAACAGTATTAGTCTTTACCAAAATCTCTGATATACTCACATAACGTGTTATCCCATATTTATAGGTTAAGTTGTGCTGTGAGGGACTCTGGAGCTATGCTACTGTTGACCTGAAAAATCTCTTTTAATATTTGTCTACTTAGACTTTCTTACCCTACTGGATCTGTGCCAATCTCCAGTATGCTGGCATAATGTAAAAGGCTTGCAGCTAAGCACAAAATATCCTTTACTGTATCCTTACTTTTTGCTATAGGTGACCTAGACATTGCCTGTTATGTTGTTACAAATGCTGAGAACAGGAAGATGCTGCACTGTAGGAGAATACGCAGGAAATCTCAAGCGTAGGTGGAAGGCATGGTGAAACATTCCTGTACATATTGACATCCTGTCTTCCCCTGGCAGAGCTTGCACTAAGATGAAGATTTGCTGCTTGCTCTTTGTGTACCCAGGCTAACTGTAATATTAATTATTCCCTGCTGCCTTTTCAACACTATTATTTCCCTTTAGCATCAGAACTTGGGTATGTGTGACAGTGTTGGTTGTAGTAGCATTGTGTAAGACTACTCTGAAGAAATGGCAATGAACATGTGATGGAAAGATCAATACCAAACTCTTCCAGTGATCCCTCCTGTCGCTATGGCAACTGTTGGTGTTAGTGGTGAGGGACAGCGTGCTGCTCACCTCTGCTTGTCCTTACCCACTCTTGGATCGAAGTGTCCAAATGTGATTTGTTGTGTCCACACAGCTGCTTCAGTGAGATCACATTTGGAGAGCATGACTGACTGCTATAGGCCAAAACATCCAGAAAAGAGGACAGTTGAATTCCATTTCTGGCTTTCTTAAGGAGCTTATTTGGAAAAATTCATAGGAGTGAAGTAATCCAATTAAATCATCTGTACTATTGTTTGTATTTGTGTTAATGATGTTACCTATCTGCTCCAGAATGAATGCTTCATTGGAAATTCTGATTATCTGATTTTCTGCATTTATATTTTAAACTTGTGCTATTTCAAATCATTTCAATCTGTAATTAGGCATGAGCTATTCACCTGTATACTGTAAGAAGAGCTACATTTCCAAATCAATAGTACTTCAGTTGTCTGAACATCAAAATCCTTGGCTGGGCTGCTGCTTTTTATGTGGAGCTTTTCATCAGACACAAAATCTTGTTGGGTATCGTGTCTGTCCTGCCTGTGTGCCACCCTCCCCACCCAGCCCTCTGGAAAAAAAAATGAAAAAACCTCTGCAGTATATCTTTGGTATACAGCAGAACTCCTTAAAGCTTTCTTCACATAAGCAATAAAGGTCTAATGAAACTTTGTCTGGCAGTGTGTATGGGTGGCAGTGTGAAGGTGATGGGGAAATTGCCTAACATTGTGTGGGATTTGACTTTGATTTTTAACATGTAATAAATGCAGGATAGATTTCAGGCTAATTTGTATGTGGCTGTATTCCCTTTAATACTGTAAGCTTATATGAACTGGAAAGCTCTGTAAACAAATAATACGAAGAAATCTTTTGTTTTAGTCTTGTTAAATGTGTGTATCACTCAGTAGGGAAGAAGAGAGTGGATGAACACTGGAAGGAAGGGACTAGCAGGTCCAGTTTGAATGAAAATGCATTACAGTAGAATCAGGAGAGTGGGAAGGGTCAATTTTTAATCGTTTTTGGCTGTCTGTAAAGCAGGATCTGGGCTATGTGTACAGCACTGGCAGCAATATGGAAGTGACCTTCTGAAAAGGAAGGTTTTTGACAAGGTTTCATCCCAGGCTGTTGGAGCAAGCAAGATGCTGTAGGATGAAAGGAAGGGTTCTAGGATGGTGAAACAACTGATTAAAAGGAAATAGGAAGCAGAAATAAATCATCACATTTTGTGGCAAAAAATTAATTACCAGGGAAGTCCACAAGGATCTGTGCCTAGGCATGTGCTTCACAGTGTGCTCATGACCTTTTGGAAAAAGGGCTGTAGAAAAATATGGCGAAGTTTGACTGTTCAGAGCAGTAAAGATGGCCAAAGAATTATGAAATGGCCTTAACTCATGGATGATAAAATGGTAGATGAAATTCAGTGCAGGAAATGTTAAGTAACTAATATGGGAGAAAAAAGTTATTTTATGTACTGTGGACTACCAATCTTGGGGGTTTTTTAGGTCTTTAAAACATCAGCTTAATAGAGGTCAAAATTTTAATTTAAATAAAATGTTGGGAATTACTAGCAAGCAAGTAAAGAAAATAACACATTGTTAATCCTCCCAAATAATTTATATTCATAAATCTTTGGTGTATGTGCATACTGTGTGTAGCTGTGTTTTTTTCCATCTTCAGCCCAATGTAGTAAAATAGAAGGATTTTAGATGGAGTGACAGGAATGAGGAATAGCATGCAACACCTGTATGAGAATAACTAAATAGACTGAAAGGCAGATGGTTGAGACAGAATGATAAAAGTCCATAAAATCAAAAGTGGCAGAGGGAGAGGATGAATAGGGAGTGATTGTTCACTGTCTCTCCTGATACCAGAACTAGAGGTTATTGAATGTATGGTGGCTCAAAGCATATGAAATAAAGTGGTCTTCACAGGCATGAAGGTGAGCTATGGCACTTGCCTTTAACAACTCTTTCCCCCAGAAAAAAAAAAAAATAAAATACTTGCACAAAGAAAAAAATATCATTAATGTTAAAGTTTACATGACTTGGAAGTAAATGAAACAGTACTTGAAAGATGAAGCCAATAAAGGTTGCTAAGTGTAATGTCAGCATCCCTGGCTTAGCAAAGTCCTTTTGAACCATGAGATGGTGGACACTACAGAGAGTACTGGCAGAGAATCCCTATGTGGTTGTCCAGTCTTAAATTAACTTCCTGGACATCTGCTATTTACCAGAAAAGGTCAAAAATGGAAATTAAAAATAATAACTTAGTCTTTAAAGTTTTGTGTCTAGAGCTAAGACAGCACATTGCTCCTGTGTGTTTCTTTGCATGTTTGTTTCGGTATATTTACTTTTATTGTGAGTTGTGTTATAGGGGATTTCAGAAAACTCTCATGTCTCAGGTGAATTTCTTACAGAATCCTAGTATTGTGTTTTGGAAACAATATTGTTGCAAAATACTCCTTGGCAATAATGGCAAAATCAAGAAGATTTCTGTACAGCAAGGAGCCCATCACTGCTTTGGAAGTTCAGATCATGGTCTGACTGAGCTCATAGCTCTGGGTTGCTTTCAGTGTCTCAGAGAATTCTGTTTATGCAGTCATACAGCATCATTGGTAAGCACAAAATTACTCTGTTTTCAAACACCTCTTAAATTATTTTTCTTTCTTTGCAGATTGTGTCCCGGTAAGAAACTTCAGTAGGTCTTGATTTTGAAAAATTGAGTTAGGGTATTCCTTAAAATATGTCAGTCTTGCTGTCTAAAACTTTGTTTCTTTCTAGGTTTGGTGCTGAAAATCTTTTTCTTTTCACAATTCTATATTAATATGTTTCTGGTATGGAGTTACACAACTGCTTGATATGTGGTATTTTTACTCCACAGAAAGTGCATTATTGAAGAAGAAATGAATTTATAATATTTTATAAAGGTTTTGAGCATGATCTAAGTGAAACTGATCAAAGTCAATATGAATCTTGGCCATTTAATGAGAAGCTTGAAATAACAATCTGTTTAACTTGAACTAAAATGGTGCTAATTTAATATTAAGAAAAAAACCCAACCCACCACCAAACCACAGTACTCAGTACTGACCTGGACTTTTCCTGTGGTGTTAGTGCTACATTAGCTTGATCTATCCTGAAGCTGATGAAGTTAATGAGCAGCTTGTCAAGCAGAATGAATGAAGAACACATATTGGATATATTGGATAGTTTAGATACTCTGGGTGTTTGCTCTAGGCCCATAGTGCTTAGCTTGTACCTTGAAATTGAGTGGAAAGAAGAAGCCATATGATCTGGATTATGTACAACATTTAAATTAGTTTAAAACAGTGCTTTGTAAAGAATTAAGCTTCCAGAAGACAGAATTTTCCAACAAGGAACAGAAAGCATTAATTCTGGATTGGCCTCTGCATTCAGAATTTCTTAATCTTTCAGCCTGATACCTCAGGCAGTATTTGAAACTGAAATTCTGCAGGTGACGCAAGATGGACTTCAGCAGTGTCTGACTAGTCTGACACAGCAAGACACCACATGGTGTTGTCTTATATGCCTTTGATTTAACTGGAGCAGTGAAAATAGGTAACCATCATTAAGATCAGCATTTGGATAATAAGTTTGTAGTGCTACAGAGCTTCCATTTGGCTTCACAGAGAATGTCCAGGATATTTTTTTTCTTTTTCTAGAGGATATGAAGAAAGTGTAAAAATTGGCTTGTGATGCCTTAGATATGAATGCTGTTCTGAAGCTGCAGAAAGCCTATGATTTCTGGAATAGCATGTGAAGTGAGTGAGAGAAAACTGCAAATCAGATTTCCACGAAGCCTGGCCTTCCCATAAAGGGAGCTGCAAAGTGTGAAGCCATGGATAGATCCCTGAACAATTTGCACATTGCTTCTGCTCATTCCACCTGCCACTTTGGTCAGTGAGAATCTTGCAAAGCGAGAAGAAAATGACATGAACAGATCTGGAGTAAAAGACACAGGAGAAGAAAAAGTAAAAAGCAAGACTGACAAATACAGAATGAAAAGTGAATTGAAAAGGACAAGATCAGGGAAATTTGGGTCACTTGGAAAAGAGAAATAGGAAAGATGAAAGAAATTGGCAGTAAGTGAAGAAAAGGATACAGGGGTAAGGATTAAAAAAATCCAGCGATATTATCTGCTTGTTTTCACCATGATATTTAAATTCCTTAAATTTCTACCATGTTACTCTTCCTATGTTAACTGATTTAAGCATTAGAGAATTGCCATTTATGTTGTAGCATCTTAGTTCTGGTATTGAAGATGGTTCATGTAGGTTATTAATCTGTAAGTTATTAGTTCAAGCCTGTACATTCTAGGGCTTTAGGATTTTTATTCTTCATTATTCTTTCCCTTCTGGTGTGAAGTTTTTAGATGGGGTAATTAACCCAAACCACCAGTAACATGAGAGGCAGGAAGAAAATTTCAAGTGGCTGTTAATCTTGAGTCACACTAGTTAAATCTGCAGAAATACTTCTTTATGACAGACACTTTATTGCCCTGTTTATGACTTGAAGAGATTGTTGTAGTCAGAACATCTCAAGATATTAAATGCTATTAATTAAGTATCTGAGGCCCACTCTTCTTTCCATACTAACTTACTTTACAGCAAAAGAATTCTGAGCTACTCTTGAGAAAACTTGTTTGATGCTTTTGGTGCTATGGCTGCTCCAACTTCACAAGGGAGTCTTGGTGCTCCAGCACAGAAGATAGCTTTGGGGGGAAGGAGATGAAAGAGTTAGTTTTTTTTACTAAATCCAGGAGTCAAGCACCCAGTGTGAAGATGCCTGGCAAATGGTTGCCATTGCCCTGGCACAAAAGCACAGCTGCCAGGCAGCTGGCTGAGCAGGGAAGACCCTCTAATGTACCTTCTCAACAAATTGTCCATTTATTCTGATGGTATGCCAAGTTCAGGATTTTGGCAGGAGGGACTGTGGAAAAGCTCCTAAACAGAATGAATTGAGGAGAATGTGGAAGACCTTGGAAAACCCAAAGATACCACATACTTACTGATGGCAAGTCTAGATAAGCTGAATCCTGGGGTGGCAATAGACTTGGCAGACAAACTCACTTGAGCCACTGCCAGCTTCTAAACATTTGCAGAGGCCTGAGAAGACAAGAAAGACTGGGAAATAGCAGAAATGGTATTGATATTTGAGCTTCATGGAACACCAGTGCACAGAGTTGGATAAGGAAATGTGTTTCAAAATGAGGAAATTTTAGCCAAATTACGAATGTTTTGTTTGTTTGTTTTTAATGGAGAGGTTTTTCTTATAAATACCAGTCAAAATACTGGCAAATATCAAAACTTAAGAGATCACATTCATGCAACAAAGTGGGGATTATGCATTTTGTTACAGAGAAGAGCCAGAATTCTAACCCAATGGCTTATATGACTTTCCTTACACCACTTTGTTTTCCAAGGAGGATGGGTGGAACATAGTACATAATGGTAAATTGAACTTGTCTTCAAACACACTTGAAGGGAAAAAAACCTGCAAGTGTTAGTTTTTCATCATTTGAAAGAGTTTCTGCTAAGGCAAGTAATGAACAAGTTTTGACTCTGCCTGGAAAATAGTGGGTGGGGAGAATGCCTGGAACTTGACTTTGCAAAGGTTGTGAATAGGAATGAACTGGTTTCCAGCGTGCAGTTTGTGGGGTAAAGCACTCAAGGACTTCCAGCCATGTCTTAATACACACATACAATATTTTGAGAGGTTGCCTATCTAAAGCTGCTTCCAAACAAAGGATTATGCAACTCAGGATAAT